TCTCACTCCAAATATATGCACAGTAAAAGGAAATGAAATGAAGTCATCACTTTTTTATTTTATTATTATTATTATTATTATTTGGGTGGCTGGCCAGTATGGGGATCTGAACCCTTGACCTTGGTGTTACAAGGTGACCCTATAACCAACTGAGCTAAACAGCTAGCCTGAGATAAAGTCTTCAAACACAGACAGCTTGCTGAATTTCAGTGTGCTCAAGTGCCCCAAAATTATTTATAGTCACTTATTAACTAACCATTTTTAGATAATATTTTGCTTACTTCAGGATGCTGTCTTGTTATCAAATATTTGGGAGTTTGTTCTGTAGTTTTGATTTATCTATTTTTTTGGCTCTTGCGTGTTCTGCCCAGAATGGCAGGGGGAAAAAAAGCAGTGAAAATATGATCCATATTAGATTACTTGTTCTGATAAAGGTTTTCACAGAGGATAAGTTGAGCTTCTCACACTTTCAGATTTAACTTGAATAAACTCTGTCACAATGATAATTATGAAAAAAAAAAAATATATCCAGGGCTGGCCAGTTATCTCAGTTCGTTAGAGCATGGTGTTGTAACACAAGGTCAAGGGTTCAAATCCCCGTACCAGCCAGCCACCAAAAAAATTAAAAAATAAATAATTTTTAAAATAAAAAGAAATGCTTCTGAAAAAACTATTTTCTGATCAGATTCGTATTTGTTGCAGTCCTGTTTTGGGCTTTATAAAAATACCTTTTGCTTTCCTTTATTCTAAAAAGCTATTTATTATTCTATATTTTCACATTTTATCTTCCTGTTTTTTGTAAGGTCATGTTTTGTTCCAAACAACTTAGGAGCAAAACAAACAAAAATATATATATATTGCATTTCAAAATATTTTTCAGACATCAAAAACTCAGCTATTGTGGAGGGGGGCAGATTGAATTCCTCAGAATGCTATAAAAATATATCCACTTACTAATTCATTTCACCCAGATTAGAAATCTATGCATGGATGAGCTATGTCATTGTAAAAGTGAAAAATAATAACATTTCAGATTCAAATATAAATGAGAGGTTAATTCTCATACTATTGGCATGTTTAACATTTTTAGAGGTAGTCATTCTATTTGGAAATAAAACCTGTAGAAGATTATCAAACATACTTGCTTGTTGACATAGATGTGTTTTTAGTTCAGATTACACTAAAATCTGCTTTGAGATGCTTCAAAAAATATTTCTTAA